AAAATAAAGTGTCGTGTTTGGGGAGGGAGTATGCACTTGGGTGTGTGCCTGTAGAAGTTTTGGACAGGGTTATATTCCATAAGAGAGAAAAATCATTGAAAGGGAGACTGAACACATTTTATTTAAGATTAGAAGTAGAGTAAAAGAAGTGATGATCAATGCTTCAAAAGTAAGAATAAGTACAATATTAAAAGGAAGAATAAGAGTTAAGTGGTACAGTTCTGGGAGCTCACACCAAATAGTATTTCTTCATTGTAAACTGTGATAAGAACTCATTTATAGGCATAAATCCTTAGGTAGGTCAGATTGCTTTACCTCAAGAAGTTCAAAAATACTAATAAATATAAATCAGGTTTTCCAAGTTTGCGACAGGTGAGGACACTTGATGCTTCAAAATACTGAGACCTATGAAGACTCTTCTTACAGTATAGATTAAGAGTGACATGCACAATTGTTGTCTTAGTTACTTTTTACTTGTTGCTGAGACAAAATACCTGAAGCCCAAAGTTTGGGAAAGGAAAGGTTTATTTCTTACAGTTTTTGGAGGTTTCAGGCCACACTCAATTGGCTCCAAGACAGGCGGGCATGCCTGGACCGCAGTTCATGGCGGCCGCCCACAGCAAACTTGAACCAGCAAAGAGAAAGACACACTTTCTTCCTGCCATTACATCACATCCTGGCTCCACCCCTATATGGGTGGAGCACTGACACCATCAATCTAAGCACTAGACAATGAACCATCATATATGAACAATGCAAACTCATGAGGCCTGGGGCACACAAACATAAACCATGACATTCCACCCCTGGACCCCAGGACTCATGTACATCCTTTATACAAAAGACATTTAGTCCACCTCCAAGAGTTGCCAAAGTCCTAACAGCTTCAACATTGCTGAAAAGTCCAAGTCCCAAGTCTCCTCCAAGATCTACGGCAAACTCTTAACCATAAGCCCCTGTACAAAAGAAACAAGATTAAACATTTCTGAAATGCAAAGGCAAAAGATAAACATTACCATTCCAAAAAGTTACAAACAGGGGACTATAAAGCATTGGAATCAAAGCAAGTCCAACATCGAGCAGGACGAACATTAAGTCCTAGAGTTCTACACTCAACATCTGAAGCAATCTGGTTGCAAGTTCCAAAAGCCTTGGGTGATTCCACCCCCAAGACACTTCCAGCGATTTCAGCTCCCGCAGCTTTTCTCTTAAATCTTCTCTGCTCGCTTTCTGCAGCTTCCCTTGGATCATCCACATTCCTGGCTTTTCCAAACTTCTGGGGTCTCCACTGCACCTTTGGCTTCACCCTTACATCTTTACAAATTGCCCTCTCAGGGGCACACTGCTTGGCCTCCCAGGCCCTTTGCAATTGAGGTGGAAGCCGTCTTACCCTCAGAATTCGTGCATTTTCCTTGCACCTAAAATCAGCACCTTGTGGATGCCGCCAAGGTTTGCTGCTAGCTGAAGCAGTGGCCAGGCTTTTCTCTCTTTTGGCTGTAGGGGTCAGTTGCCTGGATCACAGGGCTCTGTTTACCTGATTGTGATGAAAAGCTTCTCTGTGTTGTCGCCATTCTGGAACCTCACGTGGCCTCTGTCGCCATTCTGGAAACTCATGTGGCCTCTGTTGCCATTCTGGAGCATGGCACTCTTCATCTTTGCTATGAGGCTGCACAGGGTGGGCACCTGCTTCTTGAGATGCCCCGGGGACATCTTTCTTAGCTCTGTGTTTCTCCTCAGGAATCAAAATCTCAACTCTGTCTTTACAATCCACACCCTTCCTGGAATCTTCCTTTGGGCCAAACTCACAGCATTGTACATTATCCTGCTGGGCTCTCTGCTCCTGATTTGAAACATAAAGCTGACTAAAAGCTCCCAACAATAGACATGCCACAGCCTCAATGTTCCATTGCTTTTTAATTTCTTTTTCAAGATTAATCAGTCCATTGCCCTTTGTCTCAGTCTCAGGCAAAGTCTCTGGGCAGGAGCAAAATTCAGACAAACTTTCTGCCAAGCCATAACACACATCATGTGGAGTCCAACAACCAATGCAGTCCTTCCCAGCAGAAACCTCCCGAGCCTGGTCTTTACCAAGAGGCTTTCTATCATCAGCCTTCTGGTCTCCTGAGCTCTGACCAGAATCTCCTCTACAGAACAGCCTAAGCTGCTCCAGCTCTATACATCCAGGCAACATGTCCAAACCTTTCCAAACTCCACCCACAAGCCATTTCCAAAGCCTCTTGAAAAACATGGCCAGGTATAGTCACAGCAAATGACCCCACACCTTGGTACCAAATTTCTGTCTTAGTTACTTTTTACTCATCGCTGAGACAAAATACCTGAAGCCCAAAGTTTGGAAAGGAAAGGTTTATTTCTTACAGTTTTTGGAGGTTTCAGTCCACACTCAATTGGCTCCAAGACAGGCGGGCATGGCTGGACCGCAGTTCATGGCAGCCGCCCACAGCAAACTCGAACCAGCAAAGAGAAAGACACACCTTCTTCCTGCCATTACATCACATCCTGGCTCCACCTCTATGTGGGTGGAGCACTGACACCATCAATCCAAGCACTATACAATGAACCATCACAAATGAACAATGCAAACGCATGAGGCCTGGGGGACACAAACATAAACCATGACAATTGTAATATGCTTAGCAGTGGTCTAGCTGATTTGTGAAAAGGTAGGCCCTGTTTGCAGGCAGGACACTGAGAGGATATAATCTGGACAGGGAATTTGCCCTTCCAAGCTCCTCTTTTCTTTCTCAGTTACCTGGCCACCATAATGTGCACAGCTATCCTCCTACTGACCTCTCCATCATTCCCTTTCTGCTTTGAAGTCAACTGACTACAGACTCAAAATGGGAGCCAAAATAACAAACTTCTCCTCCTTTAAGTTGTGAAAGTCAGGCATTGTGCCTCAACAAAGGGAATGACTGAGACAAAAAATTGACAACTTTTTGTTTTCATTAGGAAGCAAGTAACTTACATAGCTTGCTCAATTATGGAAAGCTACATTTTTCCTGGTAGACTTTCAAGTGAATGCTTGAACAAAACTTGATGGAATCCATTTCACTCTACCTCGAGTTCATTGGAAGGGCTGCAAATATTACTCATAAGGGGCAGTGGTGGCTCAGTGTCTCTGAGACTTCTGAAACAATTTCCTTAGTGTAACTAGTTGAGACATAAACTTATCAAACCTGTGTGTAAATGATCTTCTGATGTGCTTCCTTTAGCAACAGTAAGAATATATCATTCCCTGTCTCTTGTGATTTGTGCTGCTTCTTTTCCAAAAGATAAACACTGGGTTAATTCCCATGGTTTATTTTAAATAAAATGGATAAGTGAATGCATTGAATATTTCATGACATATTATTGTAGGCAGTAATGCTTAAACAAAGATTGACAGAAAAGTGGAGTTTGGCAAGATTTAAATCCACTTACAAATACTTCATTAAGGAGTCCTACTTGTGCAATGATTTTATGAGGTCGTAATGAACAACAAATGTGCTGCCAGCATAAGCATTGGAGAAAAATCTAGAAAAGGCAGTTCAACAAAGTGATAGCAAAGGAAAAAAAAACCTTGTGTCTTTGCTTGTCATAGAATTCTTTAGCAGTGACTATTGCTTAAATGTTGGTTGCTTCCATTGAAGAACAATGATAAAAAGAGCATAAAAAGAGTTGAGATTTTCAAGGGGATGTTCATTGTGTGTGTGTGTGTGTGTGTGTGTGTGTGTGTGTATGAAGAAATAGGTAAATACATTTAAACTTAAAATGAGAGTAAAAATAATGCTTATTTTCCAAAAGGGATGTATAAAACATTAGATTAGTTCATATAGGTACACATATGTACTATAACAAACATTCAAAAACACATAGCATTATTATTCTTTATTAATTACAAGGAAACTGGTTACATTTTTTGGTTTCTCGTTCAAGATTATACAACCAGCCTTTGTGAAAACATGGATGGCAACTGAATTAAAGATGAGTCTGAGTCACAAAAGCTCTCTCATTCAGGGCCCTCTGTTTGGGTTTGCAGAAAAACTAGCCAAGGATAGAGGGCATAGCTGTACTCTAAAATAGAAGTTTCCTTGGGGGAATCTTGTCACAGTTTAGAATTTTCAACATGTTTCAATTAAATGCCAAATTAATTGCTAATTACATGCACACCAGTATCTTGGGAGAAAAAGTGAAAACAACCAATGAGTCTCCAAAAATGTATACTTTCATATTTACTAATAGGATCTGGTTCATTTTTCTAAACTCTCAAAGTGTAGTTTTAGTAAAAGTGTAGTTTTCTCCAGAACTTTTCAAATTGCTGTACTGAGCCAAATAAAGCTTTCTTTTAGAATAAAATTCTTGCAAATCTAGCAATCCTAGTACTTTTCATTTCCATGCTATAACATATATGAGACTATAATTTCTTATATTTTTAGGTCTTCTCCAATACTGCAAGGGTAGAAATCTCCACTGAGTAGATGCCTCCATATTAAACTGAAAGTATGAAACAGTGCATGGATTCTGACAGGTTTAAATAGACCATAAACACATTGGTAGAATACATAATAGGAGCTAGCATTTAGAATGTGTATTTCCTTTATGTAGCAGATATCTACAATAAAGTCCCCACATAAATTTTACAATTTTTATGCATTTGTCCACACATATACATACACATATGTGTATATATACTTTAAATAAGCTTTCTATTTTTTGACTATTGGAATTCTTTGTTAAATAGCATCTTCCACTTAATTATAGCACGGAAGTACAAATCACTATTATGAGAATCCCCATTTAGGAAGCATTAACATAATTAAAACAAGAGAAGACTCAATAAAAGAGCAGCATCATGTGAGAGAAACTAATAAAACTGAGAAAAAGAAAACAGTTGTGAAGGACAAGATAGACCCTGAAAATTTCAAAGGAGCAAAAGTAATGTCAGACTATCCTGGAAGAAGTTCTCTGATTTATAGAAGAGAGGGTAAATGTTGACAGACCTTTGAAGGAAATGGGCTCCTTGTGGGATCGGAGGTGGTGACATAAGCAGCCTGTGTATAGGCATAGCTCTTGAATCGAGGCTTAGAAGAAGAAGTTGTTTGCTCATAGCCCTGTGCAAGACTGACAGTGATCTACAGAGTGGGTTTTGGGGGAGGGCAGATAGAAAGGAAAAGAGAGATGGTAAGTGATCTAAAAGGACTATTTTCTAACATGCTAAAATGTATATATTCAGTAAGTGAATAATAAATCAACAAATACAGCACATTAAATTGAAAATCTGAAATGGTGATACAAATAACTGGTACACCCCCTGAATTGTGACACTCAATTTTTATCACATTGCAGAGCAGGATGTTTGAGAAGTCAAAGAATGTAGCATTTAACCATGAGTATTGCATGTGAACACAAGTCCCTTAATTCTACGGGATGATGTCTGTCGTTCTGGCAGAAATAGGCACTCGAAACAATTTTTCTCTGAATCCAAAGAAAACAAAGCCAACACTCATCAGGTCAGTACTCTAGAAATAGTGGAAGCTTTCATGAGCTAAGTATAGAACTAGCTCAGTACAGCGAAAAAATTAGGACTAAGAACTCTCCACAACTTCGACAGAAATTATACTAAAGGCTTTCTCATTGTTTTTTTGTCATGAAAACACCTAAAAAATCTATTTTGGGGGTGAGAAGAAATCAATTAATGGAAGAATCTCATTGCACTCTCAACAGAGATTTCATGATGGATTTTGTCATGCATATAATATCTCCATTTAATTTGTATCAGAAATATTTTAATCTATTTTAAATGTATTATCTTGACTAATCAAAAATAATTACTCTATCAATAATCTGCCAGACAAAGTGTTTGCTTTTGTTTTTCTTGGCCTCTTGTTGTTTGCTGTAGGTTATGGCTGATTTAAAGCTAAACATACATGTATGTCTTCCATTGTATTTCATTCTACACAATAGAAATGAGTGCTTTTCACTCTATACTCCTGTGTGAAGCATTGGTATTTGAATTTTATCAATGTATACTATATACATCAGATAAAATGTAAAAGTTTTAGAAATCTCTCTGCGTATATAAACATTATGATATGTATATATTTTGCATACATATTTTAAATGCATATATATATATATATATATACACACTAATTTTACATATACATGGATATACATCCATTTTCTAGGTGAATATATTATAAGAACATGTATAAAACCAAAATGCAACTGGTATTATTTTTCTTTAAGAAACTTTACCTGTTGAGAATAATGCATTTGGTGATGTAATTCATAGTGTTCCTCTTTAGTCACCTTTGATGGCCTTGGCAACATTTCCACTTCCTGAATAGCTTCAATACTGACTTGCTGAGGCAAAACTTGAAACAGTGATGTTATATACATTAAGATGGACTTCTTATCTGGACAAGTGGTAGCAACATCTGTAAGCACATTAACACCACACATCAATTTTTGGTTTCTATATTTGAGACTCTGAAAGGATAAGGAGCAAATCAATGTTACAGGAAGAAGACAGATTAATGTGTACTCGATTGTCTATGAATGTCCTCTAGAGACTAATTAGAACATGATAATCAGGCCCAAAATGTCCTTGCGATTTGGCAGACCAATGAGATGAGCACTAAAGTTAATTTCTTTTACTTGTTCATATAGAAACTTCATTCTGTAATACTTTCTTTTAATTCAAATCACCAAACCCAGCCTACCTAAAAAAGAAGCTTTTATTAGGTAAGAAACAAAAGTAAGAAATACATTTTCCTTTCCATGGAAATTATATTAGCATGCCAATTAAAATAGTACATTTATAATTAGCAGTTACAGAAAACCACTTAATGTCTAGGCTCCCAGTAAAAAATTTTACATCTTACATTTTTCATGGTATTATACTAAGTAATGAATTAAAAATTATCTCTGTTAAAATGAACCATATCTTTCCACAATAAAAATAAAATAAAATAGCAATAGACCAGATGGATAATGATTGGTAATATTCCTTAAGTACATTAAAAATATTTGTTTACATTATGATGCAGCTTTTAAAATAGAATGTCACTTTTATTCTCAGACTTTCAAGATATATTTAAACATCTCGCACATAAATTAATTCTAACACCATGTCATTTACCATATTTAGGGAGTGAAGGTAAGCCAGCATTTCATTTCACTATTAACTTATAATGGTATACACAAAGGGGCAGATCGTTCAAAAGATTCTTTTTCCACTTGCCATCACAGTTTACTCACTGTGCTAATTTGAAGGAATCTAGATATAAAAGTTTGTAACCCTTTATGGGAATTGTATTAATAACTTCAGAAAAGTGCAAACACAATTCTTGGCAGTGGAATATACTTCAGTCTTAAAAACAGAGCGTTTCCTTGTGACAACATTTATGAACCTGAAGGATGTTATGCTAAGTAAAATAAATCAGACTGCAATAAAAAGTAATATGTGATCTTTATGTGAAATCATAATATATCGAACTCCAAAAAGTAGAGGGCAGGATGTTGTTACCAGAAGTTGACTGGCAAGAGTTGAAGAGAGATTGGCCAACCAACAGAAAATCTGATCCAGGGAGGGGAAATAGGTTCAGGAGCTCCATCATACAACCTAGTTAGTAATGATGGATTGTTTTGTTAAAATTTGTTAAAGATGATTTAAGTGTTCTTGCCACAAAACAAAACTGATAAATGTGTGTAGTCAAAGTATTTTAATTAGCTTGATCTAGCCATTTCAATATGTGATCTCATTTCAAGACATCATGTTGTACAGGATAAATTCATGAAATTTTAATTTTTCAGTTAAAATAATTAATTTTAAGACAAACACAAAAGAAAAACATTGAGTCCTGGCAAGAAGTCAAGGCAACTCGCAGGCAATGTATTTTACGTACCACAAATTGTATTTGCTTAACTCACATTAAATAGTCTGATTAAATATGTATATCCCAGTTAGAGAGTCTGATTATGAGTGATAAACTCAAGAGTAAAATTGCCAGTCCAATAACACAGAACATTTGAACAAGTCACTTAGTCCTTTTGCATATAGCAAGACTATGATTAATCTATAGTATTTTAAAGTTATTTTGTAAGAATTAGAAGGGAGAGAAAAATCATTATTCTTTGGTCTGTTTCTTATCCATAGTACATAGTGATTCTCTCAATTTTACTGTGCATATAAATAACATGGAGATCATTTTAAATTTCAGACTCTGATTCAGGTGAGATTGGAACCAAGGTCTCTGAATTTTCAACAACATCCCTGGTGATTCTGAAGCTACTGATTCAAAAAAGTTACATTATCTACATTTTGATTATTTATTCATTTCTCCAAAATTTGTTTACTACACACTTAAATGCACAAATCTGAGAGGAATATTATGCAATACCTATTCTTTCCTCATTATGAATTTAATTATTAACCAAAGGGCAATAAAAGTAATTGTTTTAAAGTACTTATCTAGAAAGAATACTTTGTGCACTAACCCTAACCTGTAACTTGGCCTTACTGTAAATGTGTGTTTTCCTTCCCCTCTGGGCAAAGGATTGATATGTTAATCAATGCTCTCCTCTGTAAAGAATTGTAAAATCTTCCCTAATTGATATGTTAACCATTGTTGCCCTCTACAAATAGAACAATTGTGGTGCTAAAGTAAGGTAACTAAGGTTGTTAATTGCTATTAGACTTCTCTATTCTTTGCTAAGAAAAACAAGATTTCTTCTTATCTACACTTGCTAGTATGCAGGGAGACTTGCAATTGCCATTTCTGCTTTGTAGTCCGTCACACCCCCAGCCCCCTCCTTACATTGTGTGACCAGCAGCTGATTGTGGATTTACAAGATAAAAAGTCCTGACTTTTAGCTGTGAGGTGCGCAGTCTCCAAATTGGCTTCTGGAGACTTGTCACCAGGTCTGGATTTTACCTAATAAAGCCTTTGCTTCCCAAATTTTAATTTCTTGCTTCCTTGAATTTCATACCGGGGTCCGAGTTATCACAGATAATAATTAATATAACAGGTTTAATGATTTGGCTAGTCTTCCTACTTAGCCTGAACCATATTAGTTGGCTATAACTTTATGAAAAATAGTTTAGGAATGCCTGTGAAAATATTAAAAATTATATAAAATATTCCAATAATTTTCACGTAGGAATCCATAGGAAATGATCAGAAATTTAATGAAGTTTTATGTAAATTTCATGGGAAATGTAAATAGCATTTACATTACAAAAAATATTTCTCATATAGAAAAGAAAATCAGGCCAAAACAACTATTTTAACAGAGAATTAGAGGATGAATAAATAACTATAAAGAATGTGACAAATTAATAAAACGTAGGTTTTGAAATATACTTCATATTTTGAAGGCAATACTTTTAAAATGTAACAAAAAAGATAGACTTTGTAACAATTTCGGAAACAAAGAGAAGAAAAACATACTTGAAAATATTAGTAGAGTGAATCTACTAGTGTGACTGATAATAATTTTCTTTTTGTATTTCATTTTATCTATAGTTTCCAAACTCTATTCACATAAATTTTATAATTAGATAAATATATTCTATGTTGTACCCAAAGTAGCTGCAAACAACAAAAAAGAGACAACAAAAAGCTAAGTTGCAAAATTTTTTGCTGAGTATGCCCTTCTCCCTGAAAAAGTCAATGTAAATGTGTTTGTTTTGAAGCTGGAACCTTTAACAAAACTATTCTTATCAGGAGCAGCCAACCTCTGTAAAGTCCCAGCTTCCAGGCAAACCTTGAAATGCCTCAGGGAAATCTAAAAGGGAGGCTCCCTCCTGCAACTCTCAGATTTCAAAGATAACATGTGAATAAATGCCACTCAAAAGCTTTGGGGAGTCAGCCTTTTAAGAGTTTTATTTTAAAAAGTGAGCAAATATAATTTTTTTCTTTTTATCTATGAAAGATAAAAAAGATAAACAAACAATGAACCTGGGTTTCAAAACAGGTTAGTAAGATAGTTACAATAGTTGATACACTGTGAATTGTTGTCCTTATAGTAGTTATTCAGAATATAGGATATAGACATGATATCTTGTCTAAATAATATTAGAACAAAACATTCTTTTTAAAAAAAACATTCTTTTCAAGAAACAAGTAGAAACTAGCTGTATATCTATTTTAACTATCTCGTTTGTGTCTTTTTCCCTTTCATTTCCCTTATCACATTTTGTCTTTTCTTTTGAAAAGTTCCTTCCCAGTTCACACTATCTATTGTGCTTTTCAGATCCTATTTACCTGTTCAGTATCTTGCAATAGTGACACAATATGATTTTTACACATATGGGTCTGATTAATTTCATCTATGAGTGTAGTCTCTTGTTGTATCCATTTGCCTATAAAAGTCTCCATTTTTTCCTCTTTAAGGTTTGGTAGTAATCCACGATATTAAAATAAAAAGCACACATTTTTTATCCAATCCTAGGTTTATGGACACTTGAGTTGTTTTCAAGATTTAGCTATAACAAATTGTGCTGTTGTAAACATGTGTGAACATATATTGCTGTGGTATGAGGTTTTCAATTCTTCTGGGGAGATACCCAGAAGGACAATAGCTGGGTTGAATGGACCCTTTAATCCTACATTTTTGAGGAATCTCCACACTGGTTTCCACAGTGGTTGTACCAGTCTACACTCCTACCAACAGTGCAGAAGGGTTTCTTTTACCCCATAGCCCTACCAGTATTTGTTATTGGTTGATCGCTTGATGGCAGGCATTCCTTCTCAGGAGAGATGAAATCTCAGTGTTTTAATTTGCATTTCTCGAACAACCAATAATGCTTAACATTTTTTCATATGTTTATATGTGATTTTTATTTTTTAAACTGAGAAGTATGCTAATTTTTGGATTGGGTCTTTGAATTTGGGAGGCCTTACATTTTCTTTTTTCTTTTCTTTTTCCTTTTTATGCAGGAGCTTATGCTACTGGGCTAAATCCCCAGCCCCTAAAGGCCTTACATTTTCAATTTTTTATATGGTCTAAATATAAGTCCTAGGAGTCAGTTGGATAATTTTTTCCCACTCTGTGGATTTTCTTTTCACTCTGTTGGTGATTTCTTTTGATGTGCAAAACCTGTTTAATAAGAGGAGAACCAAGTTTTTGATTCTTTGATGTATTTCCCCTGTACTTTTTTTTCTTGAACTCTCTGCCTACACCTGTCTCTGAGATTTTACCTACTTTCTCTTCCAGTAGATTTAGTGTTTATGTTTCAATATTTAGATCTTTGATCCACTTTTTTACATTAGTTTAGTTTATGGTGATAAAAAGTGGATCTTGCTTTAGTCTTAGGCATATGGAGAGCCTGTATTTCCAGCATCATTTAATAAAGAGACATTCTTTCTTCCTGTGAACATGTTTGTCTCCTTTGTCAAAGATAAGATGGCTGAATTTTTTGGGGTTGTGTCTG